ATAAGGGTAAAAAAAAAAAAAAAAAAAAAAACATTCATAGATAAGATATTGGAAAAGGAAAAAGAAAAAAAAAACTTCCAATTAAAATGAACAATCCAAAAGCAATGAAAAATAGAAATATAGGAAAATGTGACTTTGTTAAAAAAGAAAATAAAAATACCAATCAATCAATGAATTTAAAAAATCAAACAATTGTAGATGATAAAATTAATAAATACAAAAAAAATAAAAATGAGAGAGGTTATTCTTTTGAAGGATTTAATGAAAATTTTCATAATGATAACAAAGATATAAAAAAAAACAGTGAAAAAAGTAATAACAATAATAATCAAAAAGAAAGCTATGTAAATTGGAATAGTAAAAGCACAGAAAATTTTAACAAATTATTACAAAATAAATTTAAAAATAAGAGTAACATATCTTTTTTAAATAGAAATTTAATAAACTATAAGGAAAATAGAAATAGTAATGATAATAATAGTAAATCTTTTCAAAATTTTAGGAAATTACCATATAATAAAATAGAAAAAAAAAATGATATGAGTTACACAAAAAATATAAACATAAATAACAATAAAAAGGAAATAAATAAAAGTGCAAATATAAATAATAAAAAAAATTTATGTACAAAAAATAATAATTCAGTGGAAATTTCGAAAAATTTTTATTTTTGTAATAATCCCAAATTATCTAATAGTGAATGCAAGATTACTGAAGATGAAAATGATATTAAAAAAAGGAATGTTTTAAGAGATAATCTTGGAAAAAATGAAGAGAATATAAATAATCTCAAAATGATTGATATAGAAAAAAAAGAAGAAAATATGAACAATTATGAAATAGAAAGAATGAGTAACAAAAGTGTTAAAAATTATAAAATTAATAAAAAAAAGGAGCAAAATATTAAAAATAATGATATAGAAAAAAGAGATGATGATAAAAAAAAATATGAATTAAAAAAAGAGGATGAAAATGATAAACATTGTGAAATAAATAATAAAATGAAAGGTGGAAATGTTGAAAACAATAATAACAATTCAAACGTTGTCATTAGCACAGTTAGTACAAGTAGTACAATGACTAATTTATTCGGAAAAAATGAAGATATAAATGATAAATATAATAATGAAAAGTCAAATAATAAAAATGTGATTATAAATAAAAATGATAATCATAGAAATTTTACTACATATAATAAAAATGCATCTTATAAAAAAGATTACAGGAATAATAAAATTAATTCAAATTCACATAAAGTTAATAGTAATTACAAAAATAGTGATATTAATAAAAAAAATGAATTCAAAAAAAATGACATTTATAAAAATGATGATATTCATAAAAATAGTGACTTTTGTAAATATAACAATATAAATGATTATAATAATTGTGATAATTTCAAAAATAACTATAATTATAAAAGTAATGAAAAATTTAAAAATATAGAATATTACAAAATGAATAATATTAATAATTATAAAAATATTAATAATGGTAATTATAAAAATAATGATAGTCATAAAAATAGAGAAAATTTAAAAAATAATAACATGAATAATTGCAGGAATAACATTAATGGTTTATATAAAAATGTTGATAATCCAAATAATGATAATTCTAAAAATAATGATAATATGCAAAATTATGATAATTTCAAAAATAATGACAGTTATATTGATGTTATGAAAAACATTGACAATTGTAAAAATAATAATTTTAAAATTACGTATTGTATTAACAATGATAATAATTATTATAAAAATAATAATCACAATGATATTAACAGTAATGTGGATAATTATTATAAAAAAAATAATAATGATAATTATTTTTATAGAAATAATTATAATTACGAACAGTATGATGAAATTGGAAATTATAGAAGTATGAATTTGAAAAATAATTTTAAAAATAAAAATGAATTATCTAATGTAAAAAAAATAGATGTAAAATATAATAATGGGGAAAGTTATATAAGAAAATATAATAATGATAACAATTATTTTAAAAAAAATGATAATATGAATAACAATTTTAATAAAAAAGATTTATATATATTTAAGAACAATAGTAACAATAATTACAAAAGTGGGATTATGAATGTTATAACAAATAATAAAGAATCAAATGATTATGAAAAAGAAAATAATTCAAAAAATAATTTAAATGATTTAACACCTGAAAATGTATATGAAAGTTGCACAAATATTTTAGAAAGGCAACTTGAAAAAACACATAATATTACTACTACATCCATTTCAACTTATAACATTAATGATGATAATATCAATATTTGTAATGAATATAATAATAATAATAATTATAATAATGATAGTGTTAATAACAATATTAATGATAATATCAATAATTATGTTAATAAAAATAATGGTGATATTAATAACAATGTTAACAATAATAATCATAGCAAAAATGATGATGATATCAATAACCATGTTAACAATAATAATCACAATAATAATTATGATCATATTAATAATAATGGTAATGATATTGATAATAATAAAGATGATATTAATAGTTCAATTAATAATAATGATGATAATAATAATAGTAAAGATAATAATATTGTCAATAATAATAATGATATTGATAATAAAGATAATATTAATAATACTAGTAATGATGATTATAATATTAACTACCATATTAATAAAGACTCTATTAATAATAATTCTAATAATGATGATTATAATAATAACAATTATATTAATAATAATGTTAATAATGAAAACTATTATATTAATAATAATAAAACTATCAATAGTAATAACGTAGTAGGTGATAATAATAGAATTAATAATTCTGATTTTAAATTTTTAAAAAAAACAAATAAAAAAAAAGAATACGACGTTGATGAACATTTAAATGAACAAGAAAGAAAAGACATTGATATTTATACAGAAAACTGTATAGATGGAAAAAAAAAATATATGAAAAATGATGAATTTTTAGAGAAAGATAATTTTTCCGAAAATATAAATGCAATAAATGGTGAAAAGCATAAAAATTATGAAAATAATTTTGCAACAAATCATGAAAAGTTGAAAAATGATGAATATTATTATACAAAGAGAAATGAAGATAATTTAATAAAAAATGGTGACAATAATAACATATCAAAAATGAATAAAAATAATTTTATAAAAAATTCTGAAGATATAAAAAACCATTTAGGAGAAGGAAAAGATGAAAATAGTGATGAAAATTGTAACTCTTTTAATTTTAAAGAATTTAGAAAATGGATTACTAGTAGATATAACAAGCTATTGGAAGCATATATAGATCAAGAGAATAGAAAAAAAAATAACAACGAAATATTTGAAGATGAAATTAAAATGTATAAACTAAACTCAAATAATAATAATGATGATAACATTTTAGAAGATAATATTATAATGGAAATGGATGATATTTCAGAAAAAAATGATAATAGTTCTATTATATTTAATCAAGACAATTTAAATTTTCCTAATAATTTAACTTCATCAAATGATTACATGTTAAATAATGAAAATAAAAGTAGATTCTCAAATTTAATAATTAAAAACAATTATACTGGTACCACAAATGACGTTTATAATAATACAAAAAATAACTATATATTAAATTCAGAAAATTCAACATTATCATATAATAATACTTATAATGAAGAAGATAAGTATCATATTAATAATAATAATTGTCGTTTAAATAATCAAAACAATTCATTAACTTCATTTCAGAAAAATAGTTCAAATTCCAAAGGAACTTCAACAAATTTTTCAACCAATAGGAAAAATGATAATTCCAAGAAGGGAGATTATTCAAATGCACACTTAAATACTTCTATTAAAAATACAAATAACAATTGTAAAAATAATCAAAATCCAGAAAAAACAAATAATCATAATTTTAATAAAAAGGAATTATTCTATGAAAGAAATACAATGGAACAACAATTAGATAATAATCATGCTATAAATAAAAAACTAATTAAGTATCAAATGAATAATCAATTATTTTCTAAAAAAAAATATCAAAATGCAGAACAAAAAAATGATTACATAAAAAATGAAATGAAAAATCAACTAGGTTATAAATCAAATAGACATTTAGTAAGTCATTTAAACAATCAACCAAATAATAGGGTTACTAAACTAATAAATGAACAATTTAATAAAATAAATAATTCGAATGATATGAATGAAAAGTTTTATTCAACTAAACAAAAAATAATTAATAATCCATTATCTAGAAATAATTCAGAGTTTCAATTTTTATACAATTCAAATAAAAATATGAATAATAAAAAACAAAATGCAACTTACTTATCTTCACAGAACGAAGTAAACAAAAAGATACAGCATGAATAATTATAGAAACATAAGAAAAGACATCATTTTATGAAGTGGAAATTATATTTAAATAATTCTATATATTTTATAAATATTAATTATAGCAAATATGTAATTTTCTTATATATTGGGAATGTAAATAATTTATATTAATTGAAATATTACATTTATATATAATAAAAAGGAATATTGAAATAATATTATCAGAAATTATAAAATACATAAAAGGAATAAATTTGATATCAATACTATGGAATTTAAATAAAAAAAAGAAGATAAAAATTTATAATAATGAAATAATAACACAAAGAATGTAATTAAAATTATAAATGAAATGTAGTATTTATATGTTTCAAATATATTAATGATGAAAAAAAAAAAAAAAAAAAAAAAAAAAAAAAAAAAAAAAAAAAAAAAAAAAAAAAAAAAAAAA